AATGAAATCCTACCCACCACAGACGCAAAGATAGTATTTCAGGTCACACTGCTAGTAAGATAACAAGCAATTTCAGCAGAATTTTATGCAAGTTTCCCTAAAGCAAGTAACAGAAACATACATTATAAATGGGGGGGGAAGGGGAGCATATTGCTGCATTTTACCTATAATGATCATCATCTTCACTTCCAAATCTGTTGTTCTGAAGCTGTTCAGCTAAATTAGTCAGGATAACGTCACGAAGTTGAGAGAGACCACTGTTTCTCTCTCCTAAAATGGAATGCAAAAACTTTTGCAAAACAGCATTTTACAATATTAATTTATTTTTATTTCCTCAGATATCTTGCTTAATATATGCTACTTTTCAGAAATTACTGTATTTACAGTGTAACCCGATTCCCTGTTGATATTACAGACTGTTAAATCTTACTCTGCACATAGCACTGTTTTAAATTCCAAAGACTTTGACGCATGAACGCGTTCCTATGAAGTAACAAATTACTGTGCATCAGCTGCTTCCAAGTCCAGACTCCCATTCCATGGTAAATGCGAGCAGATTATTACCCTTTCTCTGAGGACTAAAGTTACCTCTGGTTACTGTGTAATTGCCGTGGGTAACACTAACTGCTAACCAGGTGTTCTAAAACACAACCTGGACAAGAAACATTATTAATACTGACAAAAGAGAACTTTAATCCTTTTCAATTTCAAGCAGTTGCCTGATTGCGACAAATTTTCCTTTTCTACAGCTAACATACGCTTGACCATGTAGCTATTTGGAAGGCAGCTTCAGAATACGAAGCATTCTGTAATTTCCTAGAATAGGGTGGGTTTAAAGCAGACTAGTGCCCAATATTCTGAACTGTTCTCCCTCCAGAGCTTGAGAAGTATTTTCACTTGCTGTTTTCAATTAGAAGAAACACTCTCACGTGTCAATGAGACAGTCTCACCTTCAGTTAAGACCAATTTCAATAAATTATTGATTTCTGCTTCTCCAGGATACAGGATATTTAATCCAGAGCTAAAGAAAAAATAAAACCATGTATTATTTAGTGTATTTAAAAGCGAACAAAATAATTTCAATGAACATGTGAAAAACGTCACAGAATCTCAGCTTAGTATCTGATGTAACATTTAGAATTACTACGCAATAGCTTCTTCCAACTTAGAAAGGCATCCTCCATATTTTAACATTGGTATTAGTCATAAAATATGCAGCTGTTTTCTCCAGATATCTCTTGTAATCAACTATATTTTATTGTTTAGGTCCCAAAGCTTCTTCAAGAGCTATTTGCTTTCCTCTGAGAAACTCCACATTAATCACTTGTGTCTATGACAGCACAATCATTTTTTCAAGAAACAGACAGATGTCAGAACAAATGGATGAAGGCTTAGAGAACGACTCCAACAACTCTGGTGACGGGGTAAGAGCTGTGGCTTATCTGTGATAAGAACAATGGAAAATGCAAGAGACAGTAATCAAGAAGTCACTACTGTTACAGTTTTATTAAATACTGGCTCATTATAGAAGTCTTGGTTTAAGCTAAGCAGAAGATTCTAGAACTAGCATTTTGGAAACAACACAGCTACGTATGAATACTCCTTGTGGAGATATTTTTCCCCTGTAACTTGTGATGAACTTTGTGCTTTCTACATGAATTACCACATCAAGATAGAAGATCACAATAACTTAAAAGGAGTACTTCGTGACTGTCTGAAGTGTTGAAACTATTACGCAGACTTTTTCTTCTTTTCTTTTTAAATAACACTCCCATAGAAAAGAAAATTGCTATGTTTGTCAGATTCATACTGAGAGCAGAGATTATTGCTACTTCCCTCCCTCTGGCTCATGCTGACCAACTTGTGATACAAACATCAGGAAAAGTTATCATACGTTGCAAGCTCAGTTTGAGGCTTCCATTGATATCAGAATCTCCCAATGAGAAAACAAGAGGAAGGAGATATTACCTAATCCCCACCTCTGATTTTTTTACAAGTCATTGGAGGATATAGTGTTAAACACAGGAAAAATGCAGCAGCTGCCCATACAGCTGACAGGATACACTTTTCCCTATCAAAAAGGAAGGCCCTGAAAATGCTACATAATCATACTAAAGATACACTATTCTTCTTCACTCACTTACAAAGCTGCATAAAGCCACTGAAATTTGGAATGTCGTGATTCACACACACAAAAAAAAATGCAGGTTGATCTTCAGAAGATTTTGTTCTCAACCTTTGGAGCACTTCCCACTTGAAAGCAGATTAAATTTGTACTTAGGACCTTTGAGACAGCATTCCTTGTCCTTGAGATTTACATTATCTCGTTTTCGTGATACACAATCACACTTTTTGCTTGCTTCCCTGTACTTAGTCATTCTGCTATTTTGACAAGCTGGAGAAAGAAAATTACACGGCATCAGGTTCAAGAGATGCAGTAGCTAATATGACGTGGAGCTAAAGCAACCATCCTGGTTAAGCGTTTGATGACCTGGTGTACCAGCCCAGAGACATAATGCCCACCCTTCCACCAGAATAGACTCCTGTTTTCTAAACATAAACCTACTTTCTCAAGACAGTCTTACTACCCTGCCTGTTTTTTTTTTTTTCCTGAGCCTTCAATCTTATAGCATTCCTCAAGTATTATTCATTCTGCTTCCCCTTGCATTCTTTTTTTTTAGGAGAATTTCAGTGTTGTCACTTGAAACACCGGTATAACAGCTGACAATGTTCGCTTTGCCTATTCCAGAACACCAATAAGCTATATACGCTAAATACGGACGTCATTCTAGCCATCACTGGAATGCAGAAAACTTTGCTTGAATTTAGCAGCTATATTATAATAAACATTAAAAAAAACCCTAAAGCAAGCCAATAAAAAGCAACAAATGAAAAGTATGGAAAGTAATTACTGTCTCTTATTTCACCATCATCATGACAAACACATTGTATTTCCCTTCTTCCACAGATACAAATCGTAATAATTTTATCATACTATGTTAACCTAAATTTTATCATATTAATTTAAAATTAAACTGCTGAATACAATTTGAATATTCATCTGTTACAACATTTTCAAATAACCTCAATTCTAGGTTAAGTTTAATTTGACAAAACAAATATTTACCTAATAGCTAGACAAACCTCCTTCTGAATCTCAGAGCAAATCTGATCCCTTGGTGCCATCAGTAACTGCCAAAGTAATAGGCCAGACCTTCTAACAATATCTCTGTTTCTTTCGGTTTGTGGGCTGAAGAAAAATTTAAAAACCACCTAAGAAAAATTAAACACAACAATATTAAAACCTTAAACATTGTTCACATTAACTTTTTTCTGCAGTCAGTTTCTCAAACTATTTGTCTAGGTCACTAGAAATCTCAAGAGTCAGAAACTGACTCTGGACAAAAAAAAAGAAAAAGAAAAAAAAAGAAAGAAATAAGGAAGTAACCTCTCTGGATTTTATTTTCATCTGTAAAAGTGACAATTACACTTGCATTTAAGTTAGGACTCTTAAATGGGTGTATAAGATACTGCAAAGCCACTGCTAAGTTTATCTCCATTAAATTGAATGCAATGGAGGAAAAAAAAACCCTAATAAAATCAAGTGGTTGCCTCTACTCTAAAACAACTTTTTTTTTTTTTAGTGTTTATTGTGAAGTACATTTAAGACGCCCTTGTACCTGAAAGACGACAAGGATGCAGCGTATTATACAAGTATCTCCATTCACCATAGCTTTTTCCATAATGTCACAAATACTGCTGAGGTGATGCGCTTCAATTGGATGTTGCTTGCCCAAAAAATTTGTTATGGGAAGATTGTTGCTGGCTGCAAGCAGGTTGAGTTGGTGGATACACATGGCACCAACATGGTGCAGTAACTGGTTAATAACCTCATTTGTGGTTGTTGCATCCCCTAGAAGAAGAAAAGCAGTTCAAATGCCGTTTACAAACACAGACTATAGCATTAGCATTTGCTTCTAAAATGCAATATATCATTGTCATCATCTCTAACGTCAGGACACCCGCCCACATGATAAACAAAAGAATTGCCCACATCACTTTTTTAACATGCTAAAGGTAGCAAGAGTCTGGAAACTTCCAAACACGTGTCCCTTTTTACTTTTTCCTTTCTTAAAGCAAAGATAAATCATGACCAATATTTATAAACAACTTTTCAAGAATGAACTCAACTTTTAATAGAAAGTTTCAGAAGGTAGTTTCTGTATATTTATTCTATGATAATCGTACATTTCACTTCCACTTCGTACAAAACACTGACTTGTAGGTTTAGCTCACCTTTGGGCTCTGTAATGACATGACTCACTCCCAGTCTCTGACAGACGCAATGGAATGCCTGGTTCCCGGGATTACACCACTGATCAATATAATCATTAGAGCATGTCCATATCATGTTATTCATAGTATCATAACAGGCACCTAAGAAAAGGAAAATATTTTGCACATCAAATTTTATGTTTCTTAGTTGAATGTTTGTTAGAAAACCAGACTGAAGTATTTTTATAGCAGATATAAATCCAAATTATTTGCTTTAGAAGTTCTGTCATCTGACAGCAATTTAATAACAATGCATTGGAATGAAAAACATTAAAAGGAGATTTCTTAACAAAGGACTGAAGCGAATGCACATCTCTCTTGATGTTCCAAGTAAATGTACAACAGCATCCTTTTCAGGTAAATACTCCACATTGCTCATTATTTATAAGGATAAGTACATAGCATATATTATTCCTCCACAAACTTACCACACACTGCCACAGTGCATAAACTAAAAATAGTTGAGCCTAGCATCAGATACAGTAACTTCTAGAAAAAGTATAAGGGAAAAAAGTTTCAAATTTTACTACAGCTATTGACAATTAAGCACCTTAGAACCTGTTTTATGGGCCTTGTGGTTAATACATAATAGCTTTAATAAAACTGACGGTTTGCATGGTGCAACTGTTAAAAAAATTTTAAGCTTAGAGAATCATCTCCTAAAAAGCGTAAAGCCTACAAACACAAGCAGGTCCAAAACAGTAAAAGGAAAGGGTTGAGAGGATTATGGACACGACTGTTCTATGACAGACGCATTTACCATATTTTAAAAGTTCAAAAATAACATTTGTCTACATGTTTCAAATGAGGTAAATCTACAGTAACAGTAGCTAACGAGCTAACATACAATTATACATATCCATGCATCCTAGCATTTAGAATATTATTTAAAACTATTTATCTCAAACATTTTTAAGAAACACATTCTTTCTTCGGTAACATAAAACACTGCTTATTAAAATGCTAGCAATGATATGCAGTGTTTAAGTAGCATGGACCGTGTTTGAAAGATTATTTTATTATATTAAGCAGGTTTTAAAAAAAAAAAAAAAAGCCCTGAAGAAAACATGATGTTTCAATCATAAAGTGATAGGGAAATCAGAAATATCAGGAACATCTTTTCAGCTAAGATGCATTTATGTATTTTCAAATATAGAGATAAGATACTCTAAACTTTATAGCACCTTCTAACATAAGCAGGGTATAAAAAAAAAAAAATCAGACTTCTTTCAAGATTCTTTTCTGCCACAGAAAACACTTTTCTTGAGCTTGTGTGCAGCTGAAACTGTAAAAGCAAGATACTGGAAATTCCTTCAGGGAATTCCAAACTTTCAACAATGTTAAATTTACAAAATTTCACCACAGACATGAAATCTCACCAACTGCAGAGTTGCTTACTGCAAATTAAAATCCAGATAGATTATTCCCAGAGTATTCCCAGAAGAAGAGATCTACTTCTTACCAAGTCCTGGAACTAGAGCACCACGTCCAAGTGAACTTCCTGCAGCATCAATGAGATCTGCTCGGCTTGTGAACTGCCCATCCGAAATATTGAACACCAAGCTTGAAGCAAGAACTACATAGAAAAAAGTCTCCAATAAATTTCTGAGAAGTTTATTGAATTTCAGAAAACCAGGGACTTAAAATCTGCCACAAATGTATCCGACTTACTTTTTAAAGATGACAAAGCACTTGTTCCTCCAAAGAGCGAACGTGTTGCAGAACTGCCTGATCCACCTGGGGGTGGGACCAACATCACCAAGTATGTTCCACATGTGTATATTGGAGTCTTCCTTAACATTTTCAGTGGCAGCCCACAGCTAGTGTTTGCAGCTGAAATATTAAACAGAAAAACATGACACAAACATGTATTTCTTCATAACATTAAAAACCTCATAATAAAAGGCAGCAAACAAGGCAGATTTCTGTTTAGGGCTTCATATAAATCAATATGGAAATTCATTTAAGCTACATTTTGCAGCATTTAGAAATTGCTCTAAGTAGGTGTTTATAGGGGTGGCCTCATAACCCCGCACATTCAGCATCAATCCCCATAAGGATACAGTTTCATAGGTTATTTAACTACAGAGAACAACCTTAAGAAAAAAAAAACAAACGATGGCAATCTCTAATTTCCAAACCAGGAAAATTTGGAGCTTAAAATTTAAGTATAAACAAAACTGTTTTAAGAATTGCATGGTGATAAACACATTGAAAGCAGTATCTTAGAACCAAATAATCTTCTAACATAGATCATTTGAGATTCACTACGCATTTACTATTTTAAGTTCTCCTGCTCCACATGAAACGTATACAGTCATAATGATTTAGCTCCTGCCACTGCTGATCAACACTTTTCTGAGCACTGACTAAAGAATTAGCCAAGAATAACCACTTACTCTTCTTCTTCTGTAGCACTCTAGTCGTTAACTGACAAAACACAGCCTTTAAAATAGCTCTTCAAGCTAACTGTTTGCCAATTTCCCTGTAAGCATATCTATTTCCTGTATAATTTATTTTTATGGAAATACCTTTAATTGTTTAAAATTGAAGAAAAAACCCTCATGTACGTATGAAGGAAGAAGAGAAGTAATTCAGGATAAACTGAATAAGATCTTATCTTAAGACCAATCTTACAAAGCTCCAGATCATTCTGAAAGCCATTCAGGATTCCCTAATTAACGGGTAGTTTCAGCAAGCCCATAAAAGAATATCCAAACATTTTGCAAATTACCTCAAAAAACCAAAAATTACCTCCAATTTATAGTATTCAACTTGCTTGTGAAACAAGAGTTTCGTTTTCTAAACTGCAGTCTATTTTTGCACAACAATTAGAAGCCCAGTTGAACTGCCAGTACAGAAATGCAATTATCAGTTTGATCAAATCTTGCATAAACCAGTCCTATAATTGAACACATGGGGAAAAAAGGGTGCTAACAAGTACTCTTCGTGTTTTTCATTCTTAAACTTTTCTCACAATCAATGCCTAATTTATCAAAGGAACTTGTGATTCAAACATTAAGCAAATACTGCATCTATATTTCAAACATTTATTTTGGGGAAAAAAAATGCACACTTTTTTTTTTTTTTACATGTCCTAAGAGGTCAGTAATTACTAGAACCGATACTATATGTGTTAAGAAACAAACCATGAAAAATTACTGAGAGTCAGTAAAACCTCTTCTGACCTGCTTGGTCCTCCTTCAGTGTATTGGAGATTGTAGAGCCAGTGAGAGCAGCCAACGTCGCTGACGGGGAGGCTCTATACCTAGACAGCCTACTCAGAAGCATCTCATTTATACTCTTTGCAGATTCGCCCTCTTTTCTCATTAATATAATTCGTTCCTGTAGAGGATTTGCTATACATACACCATTTTCTACCTATTAAAATGGAGAAGAAAAATACTTTTAGATATTGAAATCCATAGGAGACCGGTTGCCTTAACTGAACAGTAAAATTGAACAGTACAGTCTATCAGGTAGGGATACAAACTTAAACTCTGCTGTCAGGATTTCTTGCAAAAAAAAGCATTACAAAAGCCAGACAGACGAGTACTTGTTTTGTTTGCAACTTTGTGGTTCAATAGAAGATATTCTATTTGGTCTGTCCTTAAAGACAGAACTGCTTGTCGTAATCTTAACTGTACTTATGGAACTCTACTTAAAAATATTTAACCCTCCTGTATTTTCTTAGCGATGTTTCACTGGCAAGTTTTGTAAAAAGAGGCCTTTAAATAATTTGCCAGCCAAAAAGTGTAAGCGATGATTTTCTTAGACCATAATCTTCAGGGGATGTTTTACTAAAGAATGCATCTCTTAATGAAGATAAGATCTGATTTGCAGCATTAGCTATTTTCCATAAGTTGTACCACCACAGCCTACCAATTCTAGCTCCATCTTTCCACTAAGTGCAGCTGTTGTACAGCAACTGCTGAGCAGATATACAGACATTGCACTCAAAGTACTCCATCACAGCTAAATCCTCGTACAATTTCAATTATCAATACTGGAGGGTTATGAATTGCTGTAAGCTCTGCTGTATAAGTGAATCAGTTTTTAGACCGGAGATGCTTCATTGTCAAATTAAGATATACACACACGTATATACAAATGCATTTGATTTTACACTAAAACCAATGATTGCCATAAAACATAAAAAACTTAGGTTATAAATTAGGTTATAAAATGCAGTGTAGACAAAACAATTTTATTTGTAACCTGTGGGGCTTGATTGGCTTTTAACACAATGAAGCAGATCCACAATAAACAATGCTTTAAATCTTAATACACTGAATTACTGTCCCAGCATAAAACTTAATTGCTAGTTATAATAAAATACGTTTTATGTTACAAGACAGTTCATATTGCTAGAATATGATAGTCGTATGTCCTCTGAAGGCAGAATTGAACAATATACCTTCTGTTCAGTTAAAAGTTATTTCGTAAACACATTATTCAGATTACACATATCAATATGCAAACCTAATACGTTGATTTGAAAATGCTGGTATTTAGATAAGCAGTAGTCACGGCACCGATTCCAGAGTCATTGAAAACACATAATTTGCTTACTATAAGTTCAAAAATATCCATAAAGACAGAGTGGCCCTTTGGCGTTTTTTCATTGAGGCTTGCAGGAGACCAAATCCAGTAGAAATATGTGCCATCTGAAGAAAGATGCACGGTAGTCATAGTACTGCCAACTGGGAAGTGATTTACTGGCATTGGGATTATTTGACATACCTGTAAGACAGAGAGCTTCTTAATCGTTCTTATTTTGAAGTTTGTTCTTATAAATATTAACAGTGTAGTTAAAAATAAATAAATAAATTACGATCAAGTGCAGTTAGTCCAGGAGAGGCTTATTATTGGACATAATAGTACTATTACATTTATTTGTTAAAGAGCTATTCTATAATGTTTTCCAAAAATGGATCTACCGCATACAAAACAGCACGTATATCTAAACATTTAACATATCTAAAAATAAAAGGATCATCTCCTCTCTAATGACTGAGAGCATACGCATAGTACCATAAGGAAAATATACATACTAAAGAGTTATCTGCTTTCTGCAACTTCTCTGAAACATTACTTGAAACTTTGGAAGAAAAGGGGAATTCAAACATTCTCAGTTTCAGGAAACACACTGGACATAAACGTGCATATCCATCCTTAAAACCACGGCAGGAAAAAACCCAAAGTAAACAAACTATCCATTTTTACAAAGGATGACAGTTGTTTATCTACAAAACACAATTAGATCAGAAACAATACCTGAATTTTGTTACAGCAGAAGAATAATGAGCTGTTCAGGAAGACTATGTTTTCAGTTCAAGTCAAAGTCCATTTTGCTATTGTTTGATTGCTTTATAATGTGACCATACCGCATTCTAGCTCTTATAATACCATCATAATATAGTACAGTGTAAGTCTGTATATGCATATCCATATATGTGTATATGCATATACATGCATATATACACACACTAACGCATGGAAACAGTAATATCCGTATCATAACTTACAAGTTCTATCATGCAATGCTTTCAATGGGGGTTTATAAAAAGGCATTTTCACAAAGTAAAAAGAAGAAACTTCAAGGACAAAACTAATCAAAGCTAGCAATGATTGTGATTAATTAAGAACGTTTTCTTACTCTACTATAACCCTGCAATGAACACCCTAGCCGTTCCTTTTACCTGAAGGGTATGCTGATCCACAACCTGGAAAAGGGAGTGAGGCTTATTGTCAAAGGAGACGGGCCGGTGAAGAAGTTTGCTGTTGCCAAAAGCAATCCACCCAGTCTCCAGCTCCTCATTACGGCAGTACACAAAACCTCTGGCAAAAAAAGCAGTACATTAACACTCTTTAAAACTCTGTGCTACTTTCTGTTATTCTAAGAACAACTCACAACCACATTCCTGAACTTTGACTGAACTTAACTTCAAGTCAGCATAAGGCAGCTATTTCTGTTGTAAGACTTAAAGCATAAGAAGCCTCATGGCTTCCAAGCAATAAGGAGGCAAGAAGGTACGGTGAGTCACATCTGCACTAATCATTTATATAATTAATGACATAATTAGAAAAAAAAACCCAAACTTACAAATTCAGCAACTGTACAACTATAAATAAAAAGGTCACAAAACGAGTCTCTAGTATATGCCTCTCAGCAAAGAATAAACCAACTTACTATACATTAATAAAATCAAATCAAATTTAAAGTAGTAGCTATTCTGCTAGTATACCTCTTTGCAGGAGGCTGGACTACATGGCCTCCAGAGGTCCCTTTCAACCTAAATTATCTTACGATTCTAGAGATAACATACTCAAGAAGAATTTCAGATGAGAAAACCAAAACATTAAAAATAGAGTTTAATGAAAATGCAGAACATACTCTAGTCTTGTTACACCAAACATCTACGAGTGGTTTACCAAAACAATAACTTTTTTTTTTAAACAGATCTGCAAAAAAGCAAATATTCAACTGTCACTTACCGCAAAGTACCATGTAATCCAGATCCTAGTTTGCTTATTCCTCTGCCCACCGAATTAGTTGTATAAAGATAGAGACCATCTGCTGCAAGACAGCGCCCTAAGTCTGCATCTGAATCAGGAAGAAAGAATAGAGCAGAGACCTCCTCTGTAACATACAAAACTGGAAATTTTCCACGGTCATTACACTGCTGTGGTAGCTACCGCGGCAACTGAAAACCAATAGATGCTCATGACAGGTCCTTACCAACGGGTCAGGAACACTTTTAATAATGAATTTACTATTCAGTGTTCTACGAGCTACTGTAACATAGTTGAAGTCCATTCTTTTTACAGTAGTTTCTTTACATTTCTTTCAAGACTTATGGAGGTGCTCAGATTATGCCTAACTCACTCACATGAATACTAGGGCTATTTAAATCTGCCGTTGCCAAATAAACTTAATAATGAGGTGCTAGTCACTCAGCTTCTCTTTTGAGACAATAAACGACATTAGTGTTGGTTTTTCATTATTCAAATGTACGTCATCCATTTCTGAATAATTTCTGTTTCCTGTGTCATGTTCTCATTTCAGTGTTAAAGACTTGTCTTTGGGTATTATGGCCCAAGCTTCCATAAAAAAAAAAAAAACAACAGTAAGTTTGAACTGGCTTCTTCTGCACATTATTCAAAATTATAAATACAGTGGGAACTAGACTAGGATACCCAACCATGCTTAGGAACACAGGACTATTCAACCAAACTCATTTCAAGTGTAAAATTCCTTTACTTAAATATAAAACAACTTGAGTACTTGTTATTAAATGCCTTCAGAATGATGGAAAGGAGCAGACCACCATTCTCTTCTGCTTTTGCAACAGGTAATGCTGTTCAGAACTGGCAGCAAGATAAAATACAAGCAAGACTTATGACTATGCAAACCTTTCTGCTCAGCACCGCTGGTATACTGCTCATGGGGAAGGAATTATCTAATATCAAGCCTTGATCTGATTTCTGGTATAACTCTGGGCTTCTCTTAAAGCTAGTAAGCAGACCCTTCCACCTCTGGACACTGTTAAATTAAGACAAAAGGTATTTCAAGCATAGCTTTGTCACTCACAATCAAGATGGGACACACAAGGCAAAACCTTGTAACAGAGTTATCAATAAACCACTCCAATCAACCTATTTAAGTTCACAGAATCTGAACAGTCAGCTAGGAACAGAAAACAAACGAACAAACAAACAAAAAACCCAAAAAACAAAACAAAACAGAAAAACAAAAAAAACCAACCCACACAACAACTCTAGTCACTCTCATAGCAAGAAAACCTCTTCAAAATATAGATGTCTCCATTAAATTTGCCTAAAATGACAACTCAGATTTGTAAATTCCTATGGCTTGCATTGAACTTAATGAGATGTCATCAAAGCTTGAACTAATATTTCTAAAGCAATGTGACCTCTCTCATTTAGTGCAAAAATAGTAAGCAAAGCTAAAAACCGAGAATTAATTCAGGGAAAGAAATAAAAGAGGAAAAAAGCATACAAAACAGACCAGACCAAAACAAAAGCAGAATAGGAAAAGGGGAAAGAAAAGAAAAAAAAAAAGCAATGCACTTATACTTCTAAAAATAAACATGCTCTGCCAATGATACTACTGAATACAGTGATACTGCACAGGACAAATAATTACGCTTACTGCAAGACTAACGAGTGGATAGGATAATATCCAAACTCAGTTTGACCTCTCTGTAAAATTCCCCCTGAAGTCAGGGAGGGTCACTGTATCGACTGCTTTTGATGGTTTCCTACACCCTGATTACTAGACAATTTAAAACAGCATCTGGTCTTCAGCAACCAAAAAGCAACACTCTTCTGAACCCCATTATCTTGTATTTAAAAAAAAATGATACGCCATGCTACCATTAACACAGCAGACTTAAGATTTAGCCTCTTAATTTTTTTCCATCTGATCCCCAAATCAACTTTAAAAAGCAAACAAATCATTTACATCTCTAGTTAGATTAAGCTAATGGGAATAGGTATGACAAGGCAAACAATGTAGACATTTTAGCACTGCTATAAGTTAGGACCATGTTTTCAAAACTTCAGTTTTGAATATACAGTCTAAAGACAACAAAATGCCCAGACAGTTGCTGCCCTCCCCCTCTCATTATGTATCAGGCTTCGAGACACTCCTGTGATGCCCAGTTCTCTCTCCAGATGGTCAATCTAAACCCTTCAGCTTTCAGTTACTTGATATGTACTGTACTTGCTTTTATACTACTTCCAACAAAAACGGAGAAATCTTTTCCAGCTCTAAAGCCTTACATTAATTTTTAAACAATTATCACCACTAAAAGCATCTTGACCTCCCCTACTAATATTGACAGTCATGAAATAATTCACCTTTATTTTCACTGCTGGAACTACTGTTGGCATCAGGTGCAGGCAACATGTCTTCAAAGCCCCAAGACACTATATGCTTTCCTCCAAGCAAACAAGAGGGTGATCCAGGTCCTCCCTCCAAAAGCAACAACCTTTAAGCAGAAAATAAAATAATATGCATAGAGAACAGTGATAGCAAAAACTAGCTAAATCAAAAGTTAGAATGAAGATTTATTTTAAGTAATTATTCTGTCAGAGTTCATAAGCCACTTAAAGGAATCATCAATATTTAATTTAAAAAAAAAAAAAAAAACAACTTAACACCCAAAAAACCAATTAGTAGATCCTTTCAGATTCAACTTTCTAATGTCTTCCTTCTGCAATTGACTAAATTTCGATCTTTGCTAGAGCTTTCAATAACTCTAAAGCCCTTTAATCACATTTAAAGACATTTATCCTTAAATGCACTTACACATTTTCAGAACTGATGTAAAAATGCTACAATTAGAAAAGTCACTACAAACCTGTATAATACATCAGCCACAGGCAAGGATCCTAGATCAGTCTGTTTCTGTAATAGGTGCACTGTATGAACAAAGGTTTTCAGCGACCCTCTAAAAGGATAAGAAAAACATGAATTAAAGATGTCTATTGAAACAAGACTGAATGCACACAGACAACAGCATCTATGTAGAATATAATATCCAGTACCATAAAGAGACAATATCCAAGATATGTCATCAAGCTTCTTTTCTAATTTGCGCTTCTTTTCTAATTGGCATTTCTTTTCTTCATGGAGGAAGTGAAAAGAGGAAGAGGGTAACATAAAGGAAGAATGCTGGCGAACTGCCAGTCTGAATCACGCTATCTTTTTGGAAGAGGATGAAGCACCATGCAGGCAGGGAGATCAGCAACCACGGCTGTGTCATAAACAACACGTATAGTAAAGGCAATCTAGGCACATGATGAAATACCTCAATCTTGCATCTATTACACACAACTACTTTCAATATTTCTTGTAGCTGATTAATCATATTTAGACCTTCAAATACAATCTGCGGGTCTTCCTGGGGCTGAGCCAAAGTATTAGTAAGAGCTGCTGCAGACATAGCTAGAGATGGCTTTCTTGACTAAAACAGAAGAGACCAGACTAATTAATTCATTATCAAGATTCTGATGACTTTTGCTTCCAAACACAAATTTGGAAGCTTTTCCCCTTCTGAAGTGATGCACTTAAATGTATATAAGGACTAGATACTTCTAAAAACAAAATTAAACCCAAGTGGAAGTTGTTTCTAATCTTGCCTAAAAGAGTGTTGCTTTAAAATTTTATTGTGGTGTTTACAAACATATGGAATTTGTAACTCTAATCTTGTTCATTTATAAGTTGAATACTTTTTTTGGAGAACCTATGAAATCTGTATATTAATATAATGGAAAACACCTGTTTTCTGTAGAAATAAAGAGATATAGAGGTCTTTAAAAAAATGTATTTTACAGTTTCTGTTTTAAAGGTCAGGGTACTAGGAAGAAGTCATTTTCCGAAAGACGTAGTGGCTTTATTTCTGGGCATAATAGCCTAGCTAAATACGAGAATCTTGACTGCATCTTAGGCGTGATAGTAGACAGTTATGAATTGATTTCTTCAGAAGCATGACTGATCAGTTGGAGAGATCTTTTCCATGCACTCTGCTGAATATAGCCTTTTGCTTTCTGTCACACATGGTCAGTCTTTGCTCCTTAACCTTCCTCCTCCACACCCCAAACTCTGTTTTCCCCACTGTCATTTTCAGCTGTATGCTTTCACTGATAAACCTCAGCTTGGAGAAAATTGACACTGAATACTTCAAAGCACCTCAATTAATTATTTAAAGCAATATTTACCCTGTTGTTTTATTCTTAGTAATATGAAGCACACAAGATTGCAACTAGGAATCTCAATAATAGCCTCATTTTGAAGGTTTTCTTCTTCATAATGGTACGCAACATGACTTACATATTTAAACGAAAAATGCAAGACTTTCATAGGTGAACAAAGCATGTCAGGATATTACAACTCTAAGCAATGCAAGACACATTTGCAAAGAAAATATAAGATCAACCTTCCTTTCAAAAGCTGTATTTGAAATTTAGCTCTTTTACAAATTCAGCTGCAAAAGAACATCCCATACTTCCTGAAAATTGACATCTGGAAAAAAATAAATGAGATCATGTTTATCAAATCCAATTTATCTGAGCTGTGTTCAAGTACATTGCCTTTTAGATAAGGCAGTTGTCAGTGCAGAAGAGTTTGCCACATAGAGTAGATTTCTCATTGACTTCATTAGAACAAGTACACTAGAAATTAAGTGTTTTTCATTTGAATAAACCTTTTTCTAAAGCAAATCATGACATCTCCTGAGAACTTCCAACATCTTAAATCAGAGTTAAACTTGACAGACAAGGCTGCAATCTGAGAGACATTAAAGCCAAGATTTTCAAAAGGTTACTAGCGACTTTAGACCCACATTCTTTGCAGAAGCTAAGTTTTGTATACTCCTCCCCCTCTCCCCAAGCCTGATCCCCTAAAGAGAGTAAGTTTTTATCAAAAGCTATTATGGCCACTCCGTCCTCAATCACCTGATGCTGTGCTAAACCCATGCAGGGCACACGATAGTTCAACCTACACTGGTTGAACTCTTCACCGGCAACAAAATGAGAAAAATGCCTCCAGATGTTTCACAAGCAACCCTGAAATCTGAAATGAATTGCCTTGAAACTTGGCAGTAATGCCTTCTACAGCCAAATGAAGGTGCATAAACTACAGGATTAAAGGGGCAGTAGAAAGGGAAAAGTGAGACAACTTTCCTCCATGATAAAAACATTTGGAACCATTCCTAGAACAGATCACTGCAATAGAAGCAGCAATATGCACAAGAGGCATTTCTAACCTAGATCCTTCTGGTTTTACATATGCTAAACACATGCAAAAAATAAATGCTTAGCTTATCAGTTTCACCCTTTCCAAGCCAATATTTAAATATTAGAAAGAAAAAGACTAGTGGAACCCCAAAATTAGTATCAACAGTGTGGTCACATCAGTTTTGATTCTTGCGTTTAAATATAAACACTCACTACCAATATCAACCACAACATGTCATTTCAGTAGTTTCCTTACCTTGCACAAGCCAAGGCAACTAGGGCAGCAGCAGCATTTTCTTTTTGCTTGTATGGAATCTGTTGGCCTGAAGCAGAAGTGTCTTCCAGCCAGGAACACAGCAAAGACTCTATCCCATTAAGACAGTCAGCTGGTTCCTTAGTCAAACTCAAAGGCTGGCAGTCTCGAAGGCAATTCAATAGCACCTCAGCAGTTATGTTACAGAGAGAAGGGTCTGTTCTACTTTGAGACTGAATGAGGGGAAAGACCAATAGAAGCCCCATTCGTGAAGTAAACGGTGCCTGTTCAGGCTGCTGTAACAAGCCTTGACGCTTGAGCAAGGCCAGCGCTTCTTCATCCCCCGAGCTCTCCCGGTCATGCTGCTCCTCCAAGGCTAGCTGGCGCTGGGCATTCCAGAGTCCACGCAAAGCATTTAGTCGGTACTCCAGCAGTCGAGCATAAGCATTGCTCTGGTTTCCACACACAGATCGTAAACGCTCAGCCAGCTCCGTGGGATTCTTGGTCTCAAATGTTAGTATCTGAAAGGGGAGAAAAAGTTGGTATTTATATAGGTTTTCTTTTCCTTAGGATTTTTTTTTTTTTTTTTTTTTTTTGGGGGGGGGGGGGGGGGGAGTAATCTATGCCTGTAGTATGATTTCTAGATCAGCTGTCCTCTACAACAGATTGTGGGATTTATTTCTTTTTTTTAAATTTCTGGGCTTGAATAAAGTTACATTGGAGGCCAAAGAACATGCAAGTGGTATGGAGTCTGTTATTGTTGAGTCAGCATTGTCACTGAAGACTGGGCTTGGGGGTTGCTGACAGAGATTTTAAACTTTCAATCGTGATGCTAAAACAACAATAATATAGATTGTACAGAAAAATACATATGAAATAGTACCTTTGAAAAGAAAGACTCGCCTCCCCTGGAGCATTTTATTTTTAATCGAGGCAATTTTGCTAAGAACTTCAAAAGGACTGAGGGGGTGGAGGGTCCCAGGGGCTGACTTTAGAGCCCTTCTACGGAAACTAATAGGTCAACAATATTTTGTAATAAGACTGTATATGTTCTAGTTTTAGAGCTTTTCAAACAAAGAAACCAGTTCTCTAAAATGAACCAAGAGTTTCTGTTATACACTCTCCCTCCCCTGTTTTTTCCCTCCTCAATTTTATCATATTGCACTTAGCTACACCTTTCTCAAAATATTTCCAGTTGCTGCCATAGCTTAAAAACCTGAAAGTCTCATCATTTCAGACAGAAAAAAGAGGCCTTTTTGGCACTTCTAAGTAAAACTGGAGACAAAGCTGGAACAACAGAAACCAAGTAAATCACGACAGAAAGAAACATATTTATGGGTTAGTATTCAGCCTGGTACTTGACAGAACTCTGAATGTTAAGTAATTTACAGACAACTTTTCTCCCTACAGCATACAACAACAGTTGAGAGCAGCAAAGTTACTTAAGCTATGGCAAGCTCAAGGAAAGCAATGAGCCAAACATTTTCTGATACTTTGGATCCAGTGTCCAAAGGGCTTCTGCCTGCATGCCACACTGCCTCATTTCATCCACCCACAAACACAGTCTCTTTGGCCCATCTTTATGTTGTAAAGCTGTCCTTCCATCATTTAATAAAAAAAAAAAAAGGGGGGGGGGGAGGAATGTGAGAAGTTTATGTTTATGTCTAATTGTAGAATTTTGAACAGCTTGATAAAACACTTCAGGACAAATCACATCTGCCATTTCTACAAACACCCTTACTAAAGTCAATGAAAGAGCTTTTCAGTAGAACACATCATTAGAGTCATGAAAAGTTCACTTTAAAGTAATTCACATAATAATTACACTTGAATAGTTGTTAGTATTGAGCTTCTTAAAACTAATGAACTTCTTTTAATTAATTTGTTCAAAGAGATTAAGAATATTAATCCCTAAACCACATATTATACATTTAAAATAATTACCTCATGTTGATTTGTGTGTTCTATTGTCTCAAAAATAAGTTTAATTGTTTCCTGTTATAGATGCAATCACTTTCTAAACCAGTTTGCTTTTGACTTTCTTGACCTGAACTAAATACGTGACAGATCCTCAACTAAGCGATAACAAGCTGCAGAAATGGAGGAAAAAGAATTAATGTTTTCATCTTGAGAGTTAAATGCTGAAAAAAATAGGTCTACGGTCTTTGGCTACACTAATAACAAAGACACCACAAAAGACAAATAGTGGTATGCTTAGCTGGCTTTTCCTTTTAGGTTATAATTCCAGGGGATGGGGGGAGCTGCCTATAGTCTTCTCCCCTTCCCGCAAGTGTAGTGGAACCCTGCAATCCATGCTGGATAATATGTCAAAAAGTTGCGCCCGCCTAAATTATAAGTATACCACTATGTTAATTCACAAAGTTTGCACAACCTCCTGTGGACTTTGAATGAAATCTGTATCCAGTATGTAATAACAAGCAGGTTTAAATATTCAACTATTCAAACACATGAAAATGGCTTTGTTTCAGCCAAATTGCAAATGCAACCAAAGACTGAGCTCCAATTGCAACCGAGGAATGTGTTTTCCATTTCCTTCAAGTTACCAATGTTACATTTGGTGGGTTCTCATCAACAAAACTGTAACCAAATTGTTGCAGAAAGGTCCAGGTTTTGGATGTAATTGAACCTTGCAAATTTTGTCACTCATTAGGGTCCAACTGAAGGTACACTTAGGAAAACTAGTTGCACCCTGTTACACGCTCTTATTCCTCAGGTCCCACAGTTTAGCAGGAAGATGGATTTTTTTGTCTTTAATATTGCTCTACATCTCCGACTCTGTCTTGTATAAATCAAGGCAAGAAGTCAGTGTCAAATATTTGCAGATATGCTGATGAAAAGCCTTTCCCTACTGAAGTTTTATTTTCTCACAGATCTCACAGTTTATAATTTGTTTTATAAGCATAGTATGGTCTGTCTGGAACTGTTAAGAGTGTTTTGCTTTGGTCTTTCATAAAGGAAATATGCACTAATTTGGGTTAACAATCTATGAAGTATACTAAATTCAAAAGATTTAGGAGACAGTTCCAAAATGGGACTTAGAGTTTTTTGAAAACAAAGCAATTTACATCATCTAGTTTTCATACACAGCTTATGGAACCAGTGAAAAAACTTAACTATTCAACATCATCTGAAGGTCCAAGTAGGCATTTGCACTTCCAGAAAATAACAGGATATTAGGAGAAAGGTGTAAGGTCATCTACTATACAGGATTCTTCAAAATATTTTGTTGAAGTCTGTTTTCTTCAAAGCACATTTTACTGACTAGAGGTAAGCGCTCAGAGCTACCTCCAAAAAGGAGCTTCAAGACCAAATTTTCACAGTAACTGGCTGTGACAACCAACTTGGGAGCTTTCAGGGTTCAGACATGCTCCTAAGATCTTGCCGCACACCAGGGAACCATCCTGGTTCTCACTGGTTAGCAAAACACACCTCTGTCTAACCCAACGCTAATAACAAGGCTTCACTTGGTCCATACTACATATACAGCTCCCATTTGGATAGTCTACAGACTTCACAAAGGAATCACAGCCCTTGCCAAGGTTTCCTCAGCACACTGACTACACTTTTCTCATATCTCCAGGCAAAGCTTGTTATCTTGAAGCTATCTGAAGTTGAAACAAGTTAAAATAAAATGCAAGAAAAAAACCACACCACATTTATTCACAACTTCTGAAACAGACAATACAACTACCAGTGTTTAGAAACGATACAGGTGAAGAAAGGAAATGCTGCACCCACTGAAGAGGGTTTCTTCACGCTATAACAGCTGGTATACTCTGCCAAATCTCCCTTTTTAAATCCCCCAGCAAAATTTAATCCATCTCCCCCAAATTAGTTCATTCTCTTCCTATGCAGGAGATCTGACCGTTCGCTTCATTAAAATAAGCCCGGATTCATTTCCCTGCAGATGCACATGTCTGTTACTCAAGCTGTCCTCTCCAATCCTTCATTGAACAACCAACTATTCCTTGTTCAGCAAGAGGTAAAATTCCCTTTCTCCCTGCCTCCTTGGTGCCTCAGTATTTACACTTGAGTTTGAGCTCTGATTTAGGACTGATTTCCAGCATCCTTTTGTTAGTGGTATTTGGGCACCTTGCCTCAATATTTACCTATACAAGGCTTGGGGAGATCTCGGAAGCAGAAAACCAAAAGCCAGCACGTCACAAGCAGTCACCTGAACCAGTAAATAATCAATCACTTCACAGCACCAATAATTTTTGACTAACAAGGCTTAAACAGAATCTAAGAGGATGAAAAGGATGTAACAATCCCATTGCTTTGCCATAAACCAAGTTACCCAAGTATCTGCTTACATCTCAAAAGACAATCTCTAACAGAAATAGCAGCTTAACAGTAACACCATCAAGCTAAAAACACAAACAAACAGATGCTTAAAGGAAGAACACTAAACAAAATCTGAACGTACAGATTATATTCAGAATTAGCAAAAGATAACTAGCCAAGCTACAAAAATAATGCAGATTAATATACTATGAAAACAAGGACATGAAGAAGTTAAGATGCTCAGTAGCAGTTAAAATAACATAGTCATTTTGCAATGACAAATGTAAAGAGAATTAAGAGAAAAATTTAAAGTCTGTCTACCTTACATACATTGGTAGTGTTAAAATAGTCCATTTTCTGCTTTTAGATAAGACATACTAACACGTTCCTTAGGAACAATCAATAATATTAAAAAAAAAAATCTTTGTAATAGAAATGTAAAGTTTTAAAGAGTAACTTCTAACGAACAATAAAAAAAAGTGTAATTCTAATGTAACCAAGTAATTCTACTATAAATTCTAGTGTAACCAAGACACTAGAATTAGGGGAAGAGATAAACCAACATCTCTTTTTAAGAAGATCTTCTATATCTCATTTTGTAAGTAGGGTAAACATCACATTGACACCTTTTGCAAATGAGAAACCTACTCTTCAGTCACTTTGAAATTACAGTTCACACACTGTGACTGTGATCATTACCTATTTTCCAACTTTGTCTACTTCTAGTTAGCAAAGACTGCCTTTGAAAAGTTTTGTTTTAAATTCTCACGCTCAACAGCCTGAAGTTACATATAATTCAAAACTGTATTAGTAAAACGTTTGTCACTATTTTAATTTTGCAGTATCTTGTCCTTAAATATTATTTCCTTGTTTAATATTTTAAATCCATTTTAATAAATATTCCAATTTGAAAATGGTTGATCCAAAGTCAATCACTCTAATTAGTCACTGACATCATCTT